ATCCATCATGTTATCTGATACTCTGCTCTGCTTAAAACAAAAAAAGGCTCTGTGACAATCTCTTCAAAGAAAGAGTTCCTTAAAAATACATAGGCATTACATCAGTCTATATTAAAAATACCCAATTTGTAAATATTTTTTCTTATTTAACTTTTTAATTGTTCTTTTCTATAGTGGACCAAATAAACTGATTTTGGGCTTAATTCCAAGAGTATCATCAACATATGACATGAAAATTTATAATTATGGAATGATTATTTTTCATAGCATTGCTTATAGCAACACAATTTTACAAAACCTAAATGCTCAACTCTAGTTGTAGAGTATCGGTTAAATAAATGGAATGCTATGTGTTTATTCATTCATTTATGTAAAAACATCTAAAGGCATGATGTTTAGTGATAAAAAGGAGAAAAAAATAATAATTCCTGATGTGACGCCATTTATGTGTGAAAAGATATATTTTTCAAAAAGACCAAAATTAGATTCACCAAAAAATTAATGTTGGTGGGATTTTAATAGTTATTGAGTTCATGTGCTTTTCTGCAGAGCATAGTTAAATGTGTTTTCTACCCATAATTAGAGGGTTTTTTTTTTTTAATGTAAGGAGAAAATTGACTTTGGAAAATGCTGTGTTTAGAATACTTGCTGAGCAGGAATGTCGCATAAGAGAGAAAAACTATTTGGTTTGAGAAAATGAGAGACATTTGTTTGCTTGTTTGCGAGGAGAAAGGGTGTAAAAGGAACAGTGTTTGGGTCGAAGGAAGAGTGAAGGAACCCAGTAAGGTTGGAAGGACCTCAGCCATCACCAAACTACATTTTGGGAGCTCTTCCAGGATGTATGAACTGAAAGTACATTTCCCCGCGTATATAGGATGAAATCCACACACCAGTCTGGTAGAAGTGCAATGTCAATGTGACTTGAAAAATGTTGGGCATGTGGAATTAAGGCAACAGAGAACAGTCCTGCATGGGTCATTATTGTTCTGGAAATACTACTTAAAATGGAAACTACTGGTAACAGACATGGCTTTTAGGACAGCTTGTTATAGATACAGGTATTATATAAGCTTATTAGAGTGGCAAAATCTGTGAAGTTTTCTCATGAAGAAGCAAAGGAGAAAGTACCATGCATCAAGAGATACATAATGATGTCTTTTAAAAATGAGTTTCTCATGAGTCAAGAGGTTTATGGATGATTTACAGAAGACTCCCAAATGGTCCCTGCCCTGCAGATAAAACATAATCCCCTGGAAAGTGGATGGCTATCACGGTTCTGTTTATTCAGCATTCTTTAGGGCATTTCTCTCTGAGAAATCAGAGACATTCCCAAGTAGTGCTGTGCTAAAGCTTAGAGAAAGAGATTTTGAGTTGGGAAGAATATACCACCAGAATGTTACAGGATTGTCAGCCCTCAGAGGTGGAGAAGAAATCATTGTTAGCAAAGTTTTCATGAACTATCCTGAAAGAGCTGTGTGTTGTGACACATCTAGCTCTTTCTGAGCAGCATGTCTGAGCACACTCCCACTGGTATCAATAACACAGAAAATCTCAGGGACATGCATGTCTGTATTCTAACCACAGTCTTTTTACAAGTAGGAGAAAAGATCTCTGCATATTGTTAAGTTACACTTTTACAACAAGACATGAATAGACTCAGTATCAGTGAAGGGAGCTTAGGAGGTAGAAGACAAGGAAGCAACATTAACTTCCACCCAGGGAAGATAAGAACGGAGTTGAGACTGCAGACTGAATTCCAACTTGGGAGGAGCTGGATGTGATGGTACAATCAGCCTCTTGAAGTTCAATATACAACAAGCAAGGGCCCAGGCAGCAAAAATAAGGAGATGTCTACTTCAGGTCTGATGAATCCCTAGAGTAAGCCCTGTGACCTAAGCTGAGATTATGCCCATCACTTTGCTTGTCACATGCAGAATACTGTGAGAAACAGGATCTTTAGGAATGACGGACATACACATCCTGGTACCTAGCAGGCTACAGTCTATACAGGGCAGGGGCAGAAGAAAATACAGTATTTGCAGGAGCTCTGGTCACAGAGAGAATGGGGTTCCTGTGGCAAGTGGCCTCTACTAGATATCAAGGTTTGGAAACAGGAAGGTGCATTTAGGGAGAGGTGAGCTTTACTGGCCTCTTGTGCAGAAAAAGGCTGATGTTCTGGATACTTCCCTTGCATGTGAGGGTTGGACATAAGGGGTTTGGAACTTGCTTTGCGAATGGAGGCAGTGTGCCAAGAGATTCTGAATGGGAATCGTTTTTTACTTATTTTCTTCTTAAACCTTGCTCTTTTATTCAATACTTAAATACATCTGAACATTTCTTGGCCGACATCATGGCTCATATGACACTTGTGTTGTAGCAGAGGGAAGGGGAGCTGCTTCCTGGTCTTGAATGCAGAAGAGGACCACGGTAGGCAATGAATACTCTCAGAGAGGACAGGGACAAATAACATGGATAATTCGGGAAACAGTACCTTTCTGGGGCCTCAAAGAAGAGTCCTTCGGAACTGCAGATTAAAAAAAGACACAGTTTGGGCCAAGTGAGTGGGCCTGTTTGTCACTGTGCTTTCATTTCACTCACAATAAGGTTCAAGGAGAGAATTAATAAAGTAAATTTGCAAGGAGCTATAACTGTTTTGCTCACAGGAGAATGTAATGAGGGAGAAAATTGAGTTCTCATCGCCGGTAGGGAAAAGCGACTTCGGGATCAAGCTGCCTTTGTTTGGAAAATGCCTTGATTAGACCACTTGGGAAAATGAGTCTCTGCAGGGCATGGACATGACTTGGTATCGGGATGTTAGAGATGAGAAGATTCAGAGACGGAGCAGCATGAGAGAAAGAATAATCCACTGTGTCATGTGACTCCCCAACCTCTACCCCTCAAATGCTCTGTAAAGTTATTAAATTTACAAAATGCTACATTTAAGGCAGCAAGTGTGTGAGGCATGTGTGTACTAATCAACAGGAGTCAGTTTTGCATGAGGTTCAGAATGAGATAAAATAGGAAGCATATACAGTATATCAAAAATAAGGCAAAAATTGAGGGAAGCCATAAATTAGCACAATTTTGTTTGTTTTGCAGAGGCAGGGCTTAATGCTTTGCCATATGGAGAAATTTTATATGGGGACAGTATAACATTCATTCAATAAACAAAGTTATCTGTCTTAAAGGCAAATTACTGACCAGTCTATCCCATTAAATCCTTAACAAATTATTAGCCAACTAAATCTAGTAATATCAAAATAAGAATGCATCGGGACCAAGTGGGATTGGTTTCGAGCATGCACCATAAAAGATTAGAAAATAAAACAATCAGACTTATACAGAGAAAAATTGGGTATTTAGATTGATGTAGAAAACAAAAGTGACAAAATCACCAGCCACTTACGATAAAATTTTAATATACTTGAAATAGAAATGAACTTCCTTAATTTAATAAAACTACCCATAAGAAAATCTTCAATGAACATAATCAATTATAAAATATTTAAAAATTTCCACTGAGATCAGAAATGAGAATAAATGCTCACTACTGCAACTTCTATTTCACATTATACTAAAAATCTTAGCAAAATATGGCAAGAAAATTAAATTATAGGCATTAGAACTGGGAAGGAAAAAATAAGATAGTAGCTATTCATGGAAGACATAACAGAGGATATAGAAAATACTAAAGAATTACAGACTCAGTATAAGAATAAATGAATTTAACAAGAGAGTATAAATTAATGTACAAGAATCAATTGTATTTATCGATGTTAGCAATAAAGAGAGATGGAAACTATAAAATGAAACTATTAATAAAATTAAAAAATCAAACACTTGGGAATAAATTTAACAAATGGTATGCAAGACATTTTACTTAACACTGTAAAACATCATTGAAAGAAATTAAACCAGACTGAAATAAATGTGAAAATATAGTATGTTCCAGTAAGATTCAATTAATACCCCCAAAAGTACTTTAGAGATTCAATGCATCCCCAATCAAAATTCCAACTTTTTTTCCTAAGGAAACTGATAAGCTGATTCTAAAATTTATATAGAGATGCAAAAGGCCAAAAATAGGCCAAGAAATCTTGAAGAACGATTAATAAGTATAGGACTTATCCCAGGTATCAAGAATCAGACCTAATACAAAGCGTAATAATTAAGACAGTATAATATTGGATCAAAGACAGATAAGCTGACAGAAAAGAAACAGACACACACATACATGGTCATCTGATTTAGGATAAATGTAACAGTACAGTGTGCTGAGGGAAAGACTTGTCTTTTCATTAAATGTAGTGTAATAAGTTGATATCCATACAGAAAGCAAATTTTTCTTGACCCCTACCTCATACCAAAAATAAAAATCAATTCTAGAAAATCTGTAGATCTCAGTGTAATAGGTAAAACAATAAAGCACTTAGAAAAAATGTGATTTTGGAGTAGGCCGATATCCTTTTAAAGAACAAAATATTTACCAAGAAAGGAAAAAAAATGGTACAATTGACTATAGTGCAATTAAGAAATTATGTTCCTAAAAAGTCATCATTAAAAGAATGAAAAGGCAATGAACATAATGGCAGCAGATATTTGCAATACATATGCCTCACAAAGAACTCATATTTATAATGCATAAAGAAGTCCTCTAAGTAAGGAAAGCCAGTGGACCCAACAGAAAAATGAAAACTCCACAAAAGATATCCAAGTATCAAATAAATATGAAAATGTGTTCAAGTTCAATAGTTGTCAAGGAAATGAAAATTGAAAACACAACAAGACAACTACACATCCTCAAGAATTTTTAAAAGAAAAAAATGGACTGGCTTTATCAAGTGCTGACACATATTTGAAGCAACTGCCACTCTCATTTATTTATAGTTGTAAATAAAACTATAATTTCATGCTGTTAGTGTAAATTGGTACTAAACTTTTGTAAACTAAAAGTAATTCCCTCCTATAATGTTGATTGCCTGTCAAGCTTCTTTTTGCAGGTGGCTCAGTCTTTCTTGTTTTCAACCTAACCTACCGAAAGAATGAAGAAAGAGAGGGACAATGGAAACAGGTGCACAACTCATTTTTCATTTTTTTCCCCTCTCAAGTGCGACCAAAGTTCAGCAAAATGTCATTACACTTTGATGTCATAGGCAAACATGACCAAACCCATATCAGTGGGGGCTAAACTGAGATACCCCATTAATCACAGACAGAAAGTTACATATACATGTGTACATATTAGATAATCAAGTTCTATGAAGTATATCACACCGTGATAGATTAGGCAAATACTGAAAAGGAAGCAGCAGGTTAGAGAGGGATTAAAAGAAACAAAATTAAAGCCAATTTAACAAATTAAACCAGAAGTAACCACATGTATGATAGAAATAGATTTCTTCCATTATTAATCTGTTATAATAAAGTCCTGAGTCCAGGGCAATTAAAACAAAAGCTACTAGAATACAAAAGAAATTAAGGACCTAACACAGCAACTGAAATTATTTGAATCTCACCAAATGAGTTCTATGTGACATATTTTTCTTTCCCAATCTGGGCCAACATAGGTTTGATATATAAAGTATTTTAAATAGACTTAAAGATGTGCCTATGTAAGGATAAAGTGTCCTTGCTTTTCCATTTTCCACTCTCTTTTTAATTCCCTATTATTTCCACCATTATCACTCTACTTTTGTCAGTGAATTCTAAAAGACAGCTAGCTTAGAATAAATGTCATTAGTCCTTACATAATGGTTGCGGATACAGTTGTTAGGCTGCTTCTTCTTTTTTTTGCACTGCTCTCTCCTCTCTCTCTCTCCGCTCTGCGCTTGACTCCGCTCAAGCATCTACTTAGACCAAGTGCTAAGATTACAGTGTCGAGCACCCTCGCTCCTCTCTTCTCTCGCTCCTCTTACCTACTCTTTATCCGTATAATAGAACTAAATATAATTTTGAGGGCACAAACTCACCACCCTCTCTCCTCTGAAGATAGATTTTATTCTATTTATACTACCTCGCTGCAATTCTTCCTACAACTACACTCTCTACGCGCCCCCTCTCAGCGCATGTTTTTTACTGACGCCACAGAATCGGTTTTTCTTTCATGTCAGATCCCAGATGCAATGTTACTAAAAGAGGTTCCGTGTTGACTGTATTGAAAGACACTTTAACATCATTCCCTTGAATCTTCTATTAGACCAGAACAGATCTAGGAAATCTGACTTCTGTTTATTAAACCGTTCACAAATCTACCCTCGTTTGAGTGGATCCTAGCACGGATTTGCTTCATGCTACAATACAACTGCCAGTGGATCCATCATGTTATCTGATACTCTGCTCTCTTAAAAAAGGCTCGTGACAAATCTCTTCAAAGAGGTTCTTCAATACATGGCATTACCTCAGTCTATATTAAAATACCCATTTGTATATTTTTTCTTATTTAAAACTTTGAATTGTCTTTTCTATAGTGGACAATAAACGTGTTTTGGGCTAATTCAAGATACATCAAACATATGACATGAAATTTAAAGGATGATTTATTTTTCATACATGCTTATGCAACCAATTTTTACACTAAAGTCACTCTAGTCTGTGATATTGTTATATAAAGGAATGCTATGTGCTTTATTAACTTCTTTATGTAAAACATCTAAGGTATGATTTTAGTGATCCAAGAGAAAAAATTGTAATCTGATGTGATGCCATTGTGTGGAAAAGATATATTTTCAAAAGACACAATTGATTTTACAAAATTAATGTTGGTGGGTTTTAATAGGTTGACTTCTGTCTTTTGCAGAAATTTAATGTGTTTACCATATAAGGTTTTTTTTTATGTAAAAAAATGACTTGAAATGCTGTGTTTAGAATTGTGACAGGAATGCACATAAGAGAGAAACTATTGGTTTGGAAATGAGGACATTTGTTGCTGTTTGCGAGGAGAAAGCCGGTGAAAGACGTGTTTTGGGGTGAGACGATGAAGAAAACATCGGCTGAAGGACCTCAGCATCACCAACTACATTTTGGAGCTCTCAGGATTATATGAAAATACATTTCCCATAACAATAGGTATGATCCACACACAGTCTGGTAGAACGTGCAATGTATGTATTGAAATGTGGGCATGTGAATTAAGACAACAGAGACATCTGCATGGGTCTTATTGTCTCTGGAATACTATTAAAAATGGATACTACTGACAGACATGCTTTTAGGAAGCTTGTTACGATAAGTATTTAGATACAGCTTAATTAGAGTGGCAAATTGAGTTTTCATGAAGACAAAGAGAATGTACCATGCTCAAGAGATAATACATGAGTCTTTTGCAATAGTTTTCTCATAGTAGAGGTTATGGATGATTTACAGAAGACTCCAAATGGGTCCCTGCCCTGCAGATACATAATCCCCTGGAAAGTGGATGGCTATCACGGTTCTGTTTATTCAGCATTCTTTAGGCATTTTCTCTGACGAATCCGCGACATATAAGTGCTGTGTTAAAGCTTAGAGAAGAGATTTGGTTGGAAGAAATACCACCCAGATTTATAGGATTGTCACCCTCAGAGGTGGAAAACTGTGTTAGCAACAGTTTCATGAACTACCTGAAGCGCTGTGTGTTGTGACACTCTACTCTTTCTGGCAGCATGTCTGAGCACACTCCACTCGGTATCAATAACACAGAAAATCCAGGCACTGCATGTCGTATTCTAACCACAGTCTTTTTCAGTAGGAGAAAGATCTGCTTGTTAAGTTACACTTTTAACAACACGAATAATAACGTCAGTATCGTGAGGGCTTAGAGGTAGAAGACAAGGAAAGCACATTAACTTCACCCAGGAAGATCAGAGGAGTTGAGACTGCAGACTGAAGTCAACTGGGATGCACTGGATGATGAGTAACAGCCTCTTGAAGTTCAATATACACAAGCAACGGCCCAGGCAGCAATAAGGAACCCACTTCTGGTCTGATCATCCCTAGAGTCGCCTGTGACCTGCTGAGATTATGCCCTCACTTTTGCTTGTCACATGCAGAATTGGACGGATCTTTAGACGACGGACATCCACCTGTACCTAGCAGCTAAGTCTATAAGGCGGGGCGAAGCAAATACAGTATTTGCAGGAGCTCTGTCACAGAGAGAATGGTTCTGTGCAAGTGCTCACTACATATCAAGGTTTGGGAAACTGGAAGTGCTTTAGGGAGACGGTAGCTTACTGGCTCCTTGTGCAGGAAAAGCGTGTGTCTGATACTCCTTGCATGTGAGGGTTGGACATAGGTTTTGGATTGCTTTGGTGATGGAGGCCTTGTGCAAGACGATTCTGATGGGAAGCGTTTTTACTTTTTTCTCTTACCTTGCTCTTTTATCAAATCTTAATACATCTGACCTTTTTGGTCGACTCGATGGCTCATATGAATGTGTTGTAGGCAGAGAAGGGAGCTGCTTCCTGGCTTGATTCAGAAGACGACCACGGTAGACAATATCCTCTCAGAGAGACAGGGACAAATCATGGATAATTGGGAAACAGTACCTTACTCTGGGCGCTCAAGAAAGTCTTCGACTGCAGATTTAAAACGACACAGTTTGGCAAGTGAGTGGCTGTTTGGTCATGTGCTTCGTTTCACTCCAATAATGTTCAGGAGAGAATTATAAAGTAAATTTGCAAGGAGCATATGTTTTGCTCCAGAGAATGTAATGAGGGAGAAATTGAGTTTCATCGCGGTGCAGGATAAAAGGCTCGGATCAAGCCTGCTTCGTTGAATGCCTTGATTAACCATGGGAAAACGAGTTCTGCAGGGCAGGATCGACTTGTATCGGGATGGTTAGGATGAGAAGATCAGAGAAGGACAGCATGAAGAAAGATATCCACTGTGCATGTGACTCCCAACTCTACCTCAAATGTGTTGTAAAAGTTATAAACTTAAAATGCTCATTTAAGGCAGCAAAGTGGTGAAGGAGGCTGTGTGTACAACAACAGGAGTCAGTTTTGATGCGGTTCAGAATAATAATAGCAGCATATACAGTATATCAAAAAAGGCACAATTGAGGAGCATATTTGCCAATTTTTTTTTGCAGGGCGGGCTTAAGCTTTGCATATGGAGACATTTTATTGATGAGTATAACATTCATTCAGAACAAGTTATCGTCTTAGGCAATTACTGACAGTCTATCCCATTAAATCCTTACAATTTTACCCAACTAAATCTTAGTATATCAAATAAGAATGCTATGGACAAGTGGGATTGTTTCAGAGCATAGCTCTGATTAATTTTTCTGCATGTAGCTATCCAGTTTTCCCAGAACCATTTACTGAAGAGAGATTCTTTTCCCCATTGTATATTTTTGTCTGCCCCATCAATTCATGAATGGATAATTAAAATTTGGTATATGTTTACAATGGAATATTACTTAATTCTAAGAAATGACAGAGAGCTAGCACTGCTTATATTATCCTAGATTAAGCTTAAGCCCATTATCCAAAGTGAGGCGACACAAGATCAGGAAAATGGGCTCCACATCCACTTGCCATCAAATTGGCACCGACTAATTAAAACTATGGTGCTCAAAGGATGGTAGTGTTCACCAGGGATTCGGGGGTAAGGGGATAAACCCACATCTTAGGGATGTGGTGAGCATTGTGGAGGGGAAGGGTATACCTCTAACCCTTTCTAGGGAGAGGCAAAGATGTAAAATGTAACCAAATTGTTAAAAAAAAAAAAAAAAGAAAAGAAAAAGAGAACATTTATCCATTTATCGGGTGTCGGGCAGGTGGGAGGGGGAGGAGGGGGTGTGTACATATTTACATAATGAGTGCCATGCGCACCAACTGTAGAATGGACAGGCTTGAAGCTCTGACTCGAGTGGGGAGGGGAGGCAAGGGCAATATATGTAACCTTAACAACATTTGTACTCCCATAACATGATGAAATAAAAAAGATTTTCTTTGAGCTTCCTCAAAATTATTACAAAACAGAAACCTGATTTGTTATATATCAATTTTGAAGAGAAAAAGCAAATCAAAACCTTAGGGAAATATGAAACTTCCCTGGAGTAAAAATTATTAATTTTTTTTTTTTTTTGAG